GTAGGAATTTGAAATTCCAGCTTAAGCCATTGTTTCTTGCTCACGACTGAAGTCATGAGTTAATGAATATCTGGTTGGCGGCTAAAGCCGCTGTTTCGGGACAGCGCGGGATTTCAAAATCCCGCGCAACCTGGGTAGGAATTTGTAATTCCAGCTTAAGCCATTGTTTCTTGCTCACGACTGAAGTCATGAGTTAATGAATATCTGGTTGGCGGCTAAAGCCGCTGTTTCGGGACAGCGCGGGATTTCAAAATCCCGCGCAACCTGGGTAGGAATTTGTAATTCCAGCTTAAGCCATTGTTCTCTTTCTCACGACTGAAGTCATGAGCTAATGAATATCTGTGTGGCGGCTAAAGCCGCTGCCCACCGTAGACATAATAGCTCAAAATAGACAATGCTCATCCGCTGACTGGCGAATGAGCATTGTCGTTTATGGAAATCAGGATGCTCTTTCTGCTTATGAAACAGCATCCTTGTTCATGAATAATTATCGAGCCCGCTAGTATCTAGATACCCAGCACATCACTCATCGTAAAGATGCCTTTTTTACCGGCGATGAATTCAGCAGCAAGCACTGCACCCAACGCAAACCCGTCCCGGTTATGAGCGGTATGAATGATGTCGATACGATCTACAGCAGAGTCATAAGTGACGGTATGGGTGCCGGGAACGCCTTCTTCCCGCAGTGCTGTTATTGGTAGCTCTTCTTCGGCGCCAGCTTCCAATGACCAGCTTGTCTTCCGGTCTACAGCTGCTATGATCTGCTCGGCAATGGAGATGGCGGTGCCGCTGGGACTGTCCTTCTTCTGCGTATGATGAATCTCTTCTACTGCAACACTATAGGTTGGTTGCTGGTTCATCAGGCTGGCCAGCCGTTTATTGATGGCAAAGAAAATATTAACTCCGACACTGAAATTAGATGTTTGCAGAAACGCAGTATTGGCTGCCAGGCAACGCTCGCGGGCAAGCGCTAATTCGTTATTCCAGCCGGTAGTGCCGCAAACCACCGGCACACCCGCTTCAAAACAGGTGCTTACATTGTCCAGGGCGGCGTGGGGCGTGGTAAACTCAATGGCCGTATCTACTTGTTGCAGCTGTTCTTTGGTCAGCAATTCCCTGTTGTGTGCGTCAATTTTTAATACAATTTCATGGCCGCGCTCCAGGGCGATCCGTTCAATTGTCTGGCCCATTTTACCGTAGCCAATCAGTGCGATCTTCATTTATAAAACTCCTGTATAAGAAAGGATGATGGAAAGAATGGTGAGGAAGGCAAAGCAGATACTGGCAATGCCATTGGTGGTGGCGAAAGCCATATTCACCTTACTCAGGTCGTTGGGCTTTACCAGCAGATGCTGATATACCAACATTGAAATAAATACA